CCTCACAGCACTTGTGCTCCAGTCCCTTCCCCAGCCTCGTTGCACTTCCATCCCTGGAAGTGTCCAAGACCAGGCTGGAGCAGCCTGGGCCAGTGGAAGGTGTCCCTGCCCATGGAATGTGGTGATCTCTGAGGTCCTTCCCAGCCAAACTGTTCTAATTCTGCACCCAAATTCAGGTTAATCCAGCAGAAGTTTCCAGTGCCTGGACACTGGACATTTGTTGACCTTAGTGAGGAAGGAGGTTCTGCTGGCTGGGATTTCCCATTGGAATGTCAGGTCTGACTCCACAGATCTGTGTATCGTTGCTCCTCCTTTTCCTGGAGAAATGGACTCAGGAAGGGGATATTGGGAAGGAATTCTTCCCTGTGGGGTTGGAGAGGGGCTGGAATGGATTTTTCAGAGAAGCTGTGGCTGCCCCATCCCTGGAAGTGTCCAAGGAGCACCTGGGCTAGTGGAAGGTGTCCCTGAGAGTAGAACTGGATGATCCTTAAGGTCCCTTCCAACCCAAACCATCCTGTGTTCCATGATCTCACCATGTCTGAGCCTGGCTGGTTATTCCAGATTTCTGTTCCACGAAGGAATGGTTTGATTTCAGTTTATAATCTTGCCACAGAGCAAATTTTGCCAGGAAAAAAAAAAATACCACCTCAAATTAGTGCTGCTCTGTCCAGTTCCCATCCCAAGGGAACCTGTTCCCTTGGAGCAGCTTCAGGACAGATTGGATGTTACCTGAGTGATTCACCCCCCCTGGTGACTCAGGGCTGTTCTGGCTGTGGATTTACAGCCACTGCTCTTGTTTATCACAAATCACAGTGGCAAAAATCCGCAGGGAATTTGGCTCTTGGGAATCTCCAGGTGGCCCTGGCCACATTTCAGTGCCCCTCATTTCCTGGGGGTTGCCTGGAGGAGAATTGATTTCCCCTGGGTTTGGGTGGGATGCAGTGGGGAGCTGCTGACTTGTTGAACTCCAGCAAAATAGGATTCTGGTCACAAATGGGGTTTTTTTTCTTTCTAACTGGAATATTTTCCACACACAGTCTTAGGTGGAGAGTTCCTGAAGTACATGGATGCCTTCAAACCCTTCCTTGGCATTGGACTGAAGAACTATGCCGAGTACCAGGTGGGGATCCAAGACTTTACTCCCTTTGCCCAGGGAAGCTGTGGCTGCCCCTGGATCCCTGGAAGTGTCCAAGGCCAGGTTGGAGCAACCTGGGCTAGTGGAAGGTGTCCCTGCCCACAGCAAGGGGTGGAATGTGATGATCTTTAAAGTCCCTTCCAGCCCAAACCAGTCTAATTCTGTGCATAAATTCAGACTTAGTGCAGCAGGAGCATCCAGTACCTGGACACTGCACATTTGCTGGCCTTGATGAGGAAGGAGGTTCTGCTGGATGGGATTTCCCACTGGAATGTTGAGCCCTGGTGCCCTCCAAGGGGGTGGGTGCTGAGACACGACGTGGTTGGGTTTGCTCAGACTCAATCCCTGTCTCTCCATGGGCACCTGGATCTCTGCTCTGGGGTTAAGGAAGCAGGTTAAGGAAGCAGGGACTGCCCAGGGACTCCTCAGCTGCTCTCAGGGTCGTTATTCCCCGTGGTTTAATTAACCTCTCCCCACTCCAGAGTGCTGGAAGGAGCAGGATCCGGGAGGCTGGAGCAGGGACTGACTCACACTGGGGGTGTTGCTGTGCTATTTGCAGGTCTGCCTGTCTGCAGTGGGCCTGGTTGGGGACTTGTGCAGAGCCCTGCAGTCCAACATCCTGCCTTTCTGTGACGAGGTTATGCAGCTGCTCCTGGAGAACTTGGGGGTGAGTGTTTCCCTCCTCATTAGTAACAGTTGGCTGCACACTCCGAGGGAGGTGGGAGGTGGGAGAAGCACAAGTGTTAGGAATGCTCGGATCATCTCCTGTTTGACAACTATCTTGCTTACTATTTGAACGGGATCCAAACTTATTGGGGGCAAGGATTTGCATTTGGAGTAAATAATCTGCATTTATTTGGCTCCGGCCCCCTTCCCAAAAAACTGAACGTTGGCCCTGCTGGAATCTCTTCCAGAATGAAAATGTCCATAGGTCTGTGAAGCCCCAGATCCTCTCAGTGTTTGGGGACATCGCCCTGGCCATTGGGGGGGAGTTTAAGAAGTACCTGGACGTGGTGCTGAACACCCTCCAACAGGCATCCCAGGCACAGGTGGACAAGGTAAGGTGTGCCCAGCCCAGCAAGGGGCTGTGCTCGTCCTCAGGGTGTTCCCAGTGTCTCATTCCCATTCCTGTGGCCCTTTCCAGTCTGACTATGACATGGTGGATTACCTGAACGAGCTGAGGGAGGGCTGCCTGGAAGCCTACACTGGGATCATCCAGGGATTGAAGGGAGACCAGGAGAACGTGCACCGTGAGTACCCTGGGCTGGGATCACTGGAATGCTGAGGTTGGGAAAGATCCTTAAGGATCTGTCAGCCCAGCACTGCTGTGTCACCTCTGACCCACATCCCCAAGTGCCACATCCCACATGGGTTTTGGATATTCCAGGGATGTGACTCCACCACTGCCCTGTGCCGGTGCTTTACAACCCTTTCCATGAAGGAATTTTCCCAGATATCCCATCTGAGCCTCCCCTGCTGCAGCTCGAGGCCCTTGTCCTGTCCTTTCCTCTTGTCCTGTCCCTTGTTCTGGGATCAGAGCCCGACCTGGCTCCAACCTCCTTCCAGGGAGGAATAAGGTCCCCCCTGAGCACCTTTTCTCCGTGGTTATCACATCCATGGGAATATCCCCGTTCCTTCCCTCCCCTGTGGGAGTGAACACTCTGCTGCCACAGGCAGGGAGCGTGTTTAGAGCCTTTCACTGTGGTTCCTCTGGCAGCATTTCCCCTCCCTGTCAGAGAAGCTCTTTTGGGTCAGATTCCGCCTGTTTTGGGTTTGCTGGAATCCCTGGAAGCCCTGTCAGGCTGTCCCTGTGTCCCCCTGCTCTGACAGAGCCTTTCCCTTGCAGCTGATGTGATGCTGGTGCAGCCCAGAGTAGAATTTATCCTGTCCTACATCGACCACATCGCTGGGGACGAGGATCACACGGACGGGGTGGTGGCCTGTGCTGCCGGGCTCATAGGGTAAGGCCTTCCCCCCATTCCAGAATCCCTGCAATCTGCCCTTTCTCCTGCCTCTCTCAAGTGTTTAGCATCAGCTCTGGGGTTTTCCAGCAGTGCTGGGTGTTTAACTCGGGGTGTGAAGGCGTCACACAGGTGGAAAAACCGGGAGGTGGAAGTGGAGGTCGCCCCGGGAATTCCAGATTTAGGGGTTTTTAAAGGGATGAGCTGAAACAGAAAAGCTCAGAAGCAAAAAGCCTCCCGTCCTCAGGGTCCAGAGGAGACCCAGTTCGGGGTGTTTTAGTCCTTCCTGCTGAATTTAGGGCAGATCAGCCCTGGGACAGGAGGCTGAACATCCCTTTCAGTGGCAGGCCTGGAATCAGTGACCATCTGCAGCGTTTTCCAAAGGATCTGTGAGTCAGAGCTCTGCCTGCTGGCACAGCTGTTTGTGGTGCTCAGAGCCTCTCTCTCCCCTCCTTCCAGGGATTTGTGTACAGCATTTGGGAAAGATGTTCTGAAATTAGTAGAAGCCAGACCCATGATCCATGAACTGCTAACGGAAGGGAGGAGATCCAAGACGAACAAAACGAAAACTCTCGCGACCTGGGCGACTAAAGAGCTGAGAAAACTGAAGAATCAAGCTTGGTAAGGGCTCCCTCCCAACCTCCTTCCCTGCTCCACACTTAGGGGATCAGCCTGGAAGAGGCACAATCCCAAAGGCTCTGTTCTCTCCAGGAGGTTGGTCCTCGTTTGTTTTGGTTGGTTGGTTTGTCAGGACAAATCCAGGTGGGGAATTCACACCAGGCTGGAGGGATTGGGGGTGAAACATGGAATCATGGAATGGTTTGGGTTGGAAGGGACCTCAAAGCTCATCCAGTTCCACCCCCAGGGACACATTCCTCTGTCCCAGGTTGCTCCAACCTGGCCTTGGACATTTCCAGGGATGGAGCAAGCCCAGCTTCTCTGGGCAACCTGTGCCAGGGAACGATTCCTTCCCAAGATCCCATCACTCCTTGCCCCCTCTGGCAGTTTAAAACCATTCCTGTCACTGTCTGCCCATAGAAAAATCCCTCCCCTTCCTCAAATGTGTCACTTGTGCTCCTTGGGGACCATCCTGCCCCCTCCAGACCTGCTGGAATTGGAGCCTTGGAGTTCAGGGAGCCCCTGGGAGCTGCTCTCAGTGCCACAGTTGAGTTTTGGGGAGCTGGAATCTGCTCTCAGTGCCACAGTTGAGTTTTGGGGAGCTGGAATCTGCTCCTGGGGGCTCCATTCCAGCTTCAGATGTTCCATGATTCCACCGAAACACCTTTTTAAAGGGAGCAGGTTGTATGGAAAAGTGGGATGGAGGATTATTTTGGCAGGATTGAGCGTCCCAGCTTTGTCACCTGTCCTGGAATTCCTTTAATTATCCCTGT